GTGCCAATCTTCACTGTTCTCTCCGGCACATCCGGGTTTAAAGGCACCGTTTCCACTGGTTCTACTGGCTCTGCCTTCTGCTCAACGCTCTCAGGTCGATGCTCAATGTCGGATATACTCATTGTCTGTTGACTGAGTTGGGTTGGCTTGCGCCCTTCAGCACTCGCCGGGGCTGCGGCGAGCTCGACCTTCTTGAACGTGTCCTGATAACAGGCTCTAGCCATCTTCTGATTCCCTTTCAGCACTCCTACCCCCTGAGGAGTTGGGAATTTCATCCAGAGATGGGACTGCGAGATAACAGCCTTCAGCTCGCATAGAGTGGCTCTTCCTAATATAGCATTGAAAGCTGATTCCATCTTCATGACCAGGAAGGTGATGGAAGCCATCCTGAAGCGCGGTTCTAAGCCCATATATATGGGAAGAGTAATAACTCCCTCGACCGGGACGGGCTGGTTATCAAATCCGTATATGGGCCCTTCATATTTCTGCAGCGAGCCCAGATTCAGCTGCATCTTTTGAAAATAGCTCCAGTATAAAATATCTGGCGAGCTGCCAGTATCAATAAACACCTTATTGACATTATGATTGCCTATATGAACCGTTGCCACAAAGGGATCTGCATGGGGCATCATAATGTCAGGCTCTCCTTCTGCTCGCTTGTAATTTGCCGGGCTGAATGTGACAGGCATATTCTCCCATTCTGCTTCTTCGAACGGCCGCTTCAAGGGTCTGTTTTTGTTGACCGTCATCACCTGTCGGGCATATGCCTTGCGAGCTCGGGCGCTTTGGCCCCCAGAGTGAACACCACCTGATATCATGTTTATTGTACCCGAGGGCGGGGGTATCCCAGCATAGCCTACCCCTTTCTTATCTTTTTGGTTTTGGACAGCAGCCCTCTGCCCCTGTCCTCTCCTGTTGAACGGACGTCCTCTATACGCCCTGCCCTGCTCCAAAGGATATGGATTGTCCTGATATACATCCTGCACCCCGCCGAGCTGGTACCTCTGCCCCTGAGGTCGGTCATACCCCTGTACAAAATGAGTTTGTGTGGGTTGCTGGGCGTGGGGCTTTTGAACATATCCTTCTAATTTCCCATTGCGAGCCAGAAACTCTAGCTCGTCCTTCAGATGTTGGCAGTCTTCTGTGTTGTGACCATAAGTACGATGATAGTCACAATGCTTGCTCTTGTCCGCCCTCGAGGACTCATACAGTGGGGGTGGGGGTCTTCTAACCCAGTGTTGTATTTGCGCAAGGATTTGGGACCTGGGCAAGGTTAAAGGTATGTAGTTGGCATGCTTGGGGAAGTCAGCGGGTTTCCCCCACTGCTCGCTGACTTTTTGTTTCTTCTTCTCTTCCCTTCTCGGTGGCTGTTCTTGGCTTTTGCTCTGCTTATCGTCAGCTCGTCGCTTGGACGATTGGAAGTCTTCTGATAATATGAAGCTAGCCGACCTGTCATTCACTTCGTTCCAAGTCCTTGGTGGGTTTTCTAGGAGGTCGTCCAGGAACCTGCCACGTTTCAAACCATGTAGCAAGGCGGACAGGCAGATGGTATTTGGGACGTTATCAATGTCCAAAGTGGCTTTGTTGAATCGCTGCATGTAGTCCCTCAGAGATTCCCCTTCCTTTTGATTGACTTGCATCAGCTCAGTTGTTGTGCGTTTGATCTCTCTCTGGCTCGCGAATTTGTTGGAGAATAGCTTGGCAAGCTGGGAGTATGAGTCTATAGAATGTCTGGGGAGCTTGTGATACCATCTCCTAGCTGTTGATTTCAGTGTCGTTGGGAACACTTTACACATCGTGGCATCATTGGCATTTTGGATTCTCATGATGGGTTGATAGGTGTGCAGATGTTCATCTGGGTCACCTGAACCATCATATGTCTCCAGATGGGGAATCTTGAATCCCTCTTGATAGGGTTCTACTGTGATGGACATGTTTAGTGGAGCACTATCCAAATCCACGGTTTGTTGGTGCGACCTGGGACTTTTCAGCTCGTCAATAGACTTTTGTACATCTCTCAGTTGTCTTTCAAGGTCTGCATTCTTTCTCATCAGTTCTTCACTATGCTTGGACGAGCTTGGCTCGAGGTTTAGCTTCCCGCTTCCCCTTGGCCTAGTCGGCACTACTATGTTGCTTAGGGCCGGGGAATTTCGCATCGCAACAACCGCAGCCGGTTGTGCATCCCTGTTCAGCAAAGGAATCAGGGGGTCATTAGGAATTAGACGGGCAAGGATTTTACCCATTGCCATTTCGAGAACTCTGGTTCTCTCTTCGAGCTCGGTTGTCCGAGCAGGCTCTGACGACCTTTCAGGTCGTACACGCTGTGCATTGTACGGTCTAGAAGGTCTTTGTCCTGTTCCTGTTGGAACTTGGAACTGTTCAGGCTGGGTTGCATACCCAGTTGGTGTTCTTTCATCATCTGTTTCACTTAGGTGGTCCTATTCGGCTCCCCCTACAAAAAGATTTCTTGGCATTGGCCTAAAGTCATTCAGGTCAGGCTCAGATACTTGGGCGTCCTCCTGTTCGTCCATCTCATTTCTTGGAGGGCGACCTCCTGTAAAGGTATGAACCATGTTATCTTTCAGCAAGTTAAGCCACACGACTTCTTGTTCGGTTTCCCGCAGACGGCGCCAAATGTTTGGGCAGCTTCGCAGTCCAACACTGTTGAAGTTCTTAGCTGCTTCCACACCTGAAAATCCCGAGGTTGTTTCCTCGGGGAAAACACTCCGACGCTCAAGTCAGCAATACTCGATGTTATAGAGAAAGAAGTTCTCCAAGAGTAATTGCAGAGAGAAAAGCGTAGAGATTTATTACCTTCTTCGGAGGTAGTTGGGGGGTATTTATAGCCCCTTGGTGCTGACACACATCTGCACGTGTAAGCATCCCCTTGGCTCACACGGCGTTGGTCACGTGGGTATGCTTGTACTGATGCTCCTTCAGCCTAGGCTAATTGGTGGTAACTTAGGCCCGTTATGCACAGCCCTGTTTGAGTGTTGGGCCTATTCCAACATAATCCTTATGAAGCTTATCTGATATTATTTATACCTTTCAGTTGGATGAGACGTGAGGATGGATGGACTAGGAGTTTCACAAGGAATGGTATCTTCTTTGTACGAATGGGCTATCACCGGGCCAAAAAGATGATGAGCAGTCACGATAGCCCTTCTGGGTCTTCAAGTAACTTTAGAAGAGGTTGCTTATGGAATGTCGACGTTCCTGAAAAGGTGCGTCTAGTAGGGTGGCAGGCTTACAGAGGTGTGCTCCCCACCAAGGATAATCTCCATTGACGATGGATTGCAACTAATTTACTATGCCCTATGTGTGGCTTGAAACCTGAATCCATATTGCATTGTTTTGTGCATTGCCTAGCTGCGAGAGCAACTTGGTTATGATGCCCTTTTACTCTTCGAGGATCGGAGCTTCATGTTGATCATTTTGCTGCTTTCCTTGACAGTATGGTTTCCATCCTGGGGAGGGAGCAATCAGAGCTTCTTTGTATATTGTGCTGGAAAATTTGGGGCTGCAGAAATGAGGCAGTCTGGCATGGCAAGCACACAAGCCCGCAGTTCATCATAGAAAATGGTTTAGGCTATTTGAATGAGTACAAACAAGCAATGAATTCTAAAGGCAGGCGAGTGAGACTTGGGCAACGGCTTAGTGAAACAAGATGGCGACCTCTGGATATGGGTCATGTGAAGATTAATATCGATGGGGCCATATTAGAACAGCAACAGAGCTTTGGCATAGGGGTAGTGGCAGGTGATCACACTAGTAATGTAGTGGCATCAATGGCTTATAAGGGACAAGGGGCAGTAGCCGCCGAAGTAGCTGAGGCATGTACTTTGCGTAAAGCACTACAATGGGCCCACGACCTCTCTTTTGAAAAAATCATTGTTGAGTCAGACTGTGCAAACATCACCGCAGCCATGCAATCTGATTTTCTTGCTATGAACTCATCCTTGGGCTCAATTATCTCAAATAGCAAGATGCTCATGACCACCTTCCTTGACTATCGACTTCAGCATACCCGCAGGGAAGGAAATTTGATTGCTCATGAACTGGCGAAGAGAGCTCTCCAAGCAGAAGTTGACAAATACTGGGTCGGTGATATATCAGGGACTATTGCGCAATTTGTAATTGGGGATAAGTCAAGTATCTAATTATGTATTCCCTGTTCTGATATTATCAATAAAATATGTGCAGTAGACTTTCCATGACACAAAAAAATAATAATAATAATAAAAAAAAAAAAAGAAGAAAAGAAAAAAACCTTCCACCCAAGAAATTATACAGTTCAATTAAGAGAAAATTGATGTCAGCTACTTACAATCTACGGTAAGTTTTGCACCATATCTTCCGCAAAAAATTGCCAAAACAAAGTTAGCAATAAATCATGATAGGAAAGGCTACCAAGATGGTAGTAAAATTAATTAGAAATAATTTGATTAAAGGGCTAAAAACAATTCAAAAGTCATGGTTCAATTAATCATAAGTAGTAAAAAATAGAATTAACTCAGACCATTGCAAGTAACATCAATTAGTATATATTAAACAAAAACATGAGATAAACAACTTAATTCCAGTTAAACTCAGACAATAATTTTAGGAGACAAATAACTTCAACTCTAATTTTAGCAAACAAATAGCAAGATATCGAGAAATTGCATTCCATAAATTAAATATACTAACCAATAAGTAATATGATACTTAGTGAAGTTAAGACTATGACAACAGCTCTCTCTTGTTCTAGGACATTAAAATTCTTGAACTAATAGCTACAATTATTCCAAAGGATAACTGGAAATTCATTGCCACTGCATTTAGGGGAAATTGATCTTTTAGAAGACACAGTGGGAATTCTAATTCAGCTAAAAAAATATTTATGTAACTAGTGCTAGCATTTCATACCCCGAGTTCTTTATACAGAACTTTGATCTTTTTCAATCACTAGCCCTCATGTTTCCTCTTAGGATTTTCAACTTTACACACCACTCCTATTAAATTTTTTAAAAAAAATGTTTGTAATATTATCTAAGTAAATCAATTATCTAATTAAGATTTTAGAAGCTTATTATTGGTTAAAATGGCATCTTTTTCAACCAATTTCTAGCTTTAACATAAGACTAAAACTTGAAAACGTGGCCTCTATAGCAACAGTGCCCTCTTCTACCTCCTCGACAACTTTTCTAACTCTATTGAATCTGATTTTCTCTAATCTTCCCATGGGCTTGTAATTTGTCACCATAACGCTGCCGAAATTCGTCAACTAAATGATACTGATTTGGATCAGCAAAAATGAGGTTATAGGCCTTACGGTGGATTTTTGGCACTAAGGTTGAAATTGCAGATAGGATTTGGAAATTGGAAATTGCTCATGTAAATGAAGAAATTGCGATAGGGATTTTAGGATAATTGGAAACTGTTAGGGATTAAAACAGAGTTGGGAGGTTTAGTCAGCAAAAATGGAATAAAAAAGAAATTAAATGTTTAGTTGACAGATTTCCAAAGAGTGAGTGGGCTTAGGTGGAATTATTGTGAGCAAGGCATTATTCATTTAACTTTGGGTTTTAAAATATGCACTACTCATTTAACTCTTTGGCTTTAAAATTATGTTATTGGGTATTTCTAAGGCAAATTTTAGGAGTTCAATTTTCTAATATTAAAGAGATTTCATATAATTAATAATTGTAATGTTAATTGTGATTCTTCTAGTTTTTCTATTAAGGACAATGAAATAGCGCAAACACTCCTTCGTTACAATAGTTCAGGGGAGTTACACTCGTTTTCTGGTAGCTCCTCTTTTGAGTCTTCTATTGCTTTGTCAACTACCACTATGGCTAATTTGTGGCATCTACACCTTTGTCATCCAAGTCATGATTCTCTTAAGCACCTTGGTAATTGAGGTTTTATTTCTACGAAATGAAAGAACCATAGATCCTAATTTTTGTCGTGCTTTTCAGTTAGGGAAACATACATTTATCATTTTTCAAGCCTTTATTAATTACTTCTACATCTTTTGAATTAATATACTCTAATATTTAGACATCTCCAGTTACTTCCTTTAATGATATAAAATATTTTTTATTATTTTTTTATGATTATTCTCACTATTTATAGGTGTATCCACGATAATATAAATCTCAATTTTTTTCATCTTTTCTTAAATTCTTTGTATTTATTTTTAATTAGTTTTATACTCAAATTAAAACTCTCCAATGTGATAATGGTAAAGAATTCAACTCGGATTAAAGTTCAAAAGAAAGTCAATAGTTGTTACATGAACCAACCCAAACCTACTGGCGACCGTGTTGCTAGAATTGCGACCAAAAATACCTTTCACATACCGATCTGGCTATCTCAATTGTTGATATGAAGTTGACAATCGTTTTGCTCAAATTCCTGTAGTTAATCTAGTTGATGTCTTCAGAGTAGATAGGAATCGAGGAAGAAAAGGGAAGGAGGAAGAGAGGGGGAATAGAGAAAAACTAGGAGGAAGTAGAGGGGAAGGGAGGAGCATTGATTGATTCGTCTGGCTATTCATGGAGAAGATGGATTTTGGTGTGCTACCAGTGCTATGACGATGTGCGCTGTCTCAAACCCGAAAAAGGGATTAGCTAAAAAAAATTAAGAAAAAGAGTAGAGAGTTGTAAGGGTAGAAAAGGAAAAAAGTGTAAAATTAGATTTCATTCAACCTAATCCCATGGGCAACTTGGGATACCTTTCATCAAAATAGCTTAGGATGGGATAAAATATGGGATAATTGTTATCTCATCTTTTTATCCTACTAAACATGGGATACAATGGTGCTCCAAACACACTGTAGAGAAGACATATATATACGTATATATCTTACATCTATGGTAAGGATGATTTATCATTGGTTACACCTTAGCAAACGAAGTTGTGTTCTGTTAAAATTGTAACTTGTAAACAATACTAAAGCTTCATTTGACAGTATTGGGCAATAGGTTTTTTGATTTTATCTCATCATAAAAATATATAAAATATTAATTAAAATTATTTTTTATGATCTATGAATTAAAATTACTAGCTAACGACTTAAATAATTTAGTGGTTATTTTCTTTCATTGAAAATAAGAGATCATAAGTTCAAGTCGCATGTCATACAAGTGGAATGAGATAAAAAATGAGAAATAATTGCCTCCTATTTTGTAACCAAAATAAAAAAAAAATTACTAAAAACATATAAAGCAATAATTATTAACTATATTTGTTTTGCAATTTAATAAAAAATTACAATATCTTAAAACAATATTACCTTAAAAATTATAATATAAGTAATTATAAAATTGTTGACAAAAATAAAAATCTACTTAATCAGTTAACAATTTTCATTGTGTGTTAGTTAAAAACATTATATGTCCATGTATCATAAAAGCTTGCACGTTAGCATACCGAAAAGATGGGCATAGTTATTGCCACATACAAAATCGTTATGGTGACACAAATCTCATGTATTCTCTTTAAAAGTGTTAGTCTTGTTTGGGTTGATTGTTTAAAAATAATTGATAATCATAATTGTAGGTTTATAATTGATAAAATAATTTATATTTATTAATTAATAAATTAAGCTAATATTTTCAAATATTATAATTAATTATTAAAAAATTAATTATTAAAAAAAAAAGAAGATTTCATTTACGAGTGCTTCTCATAGACCTTTTTTGCATGATATATTTTTAAAAAATGTAAATTTGTAATTTTAATTTATTTTAATTGATTTTATATACCTCCATTAATTTTAATTTATTTTATATATTTAAAATTGTAAAAAACCAAAAAAAACTTATTATAGCACAACACAATACCATTCTCCAAAAAAAAAAAGTAAGAATTTTTTTAACATTGTTCTTTAAAATATACGTTAAAAGTTAAGGGTATTAAAAGATCAAAAATTAATATTTATTTTATCAACCATCTAATTAAATTTATTTAATAATAATATTAAAATTATTATCAATTTTTATCTTTTATATAAATTTATAAAAAAAAAAACCTAAAAACATATATTAAAAGAACCCAAATATATGTGCCATGGTAATATTGTTTGCTGCAATAACCACACCCCGAAAGAGCTGCTGCCACTTTTCTTTCTTCGCCTGTCAAAAAATTGCTACAAACCAAAAAAAAAAGAAACAAAGAAGGCTACTTCAAGTGTGTGTGAAGCAACAATTATCCTCAAGAAAACGCGTGCTGAATAAGTTATCCACAGGAAGGCACGTGGACAAGAATCAATGTCATCACAATTCTAAAATTTAAGGACCATAGTTTGATTTGTATTTGCAAGGAGTCCTTATAATTTTTTTGAAAACAGGCAATGGAATCCTTCTAAATTTTTTATTGTTGACATATACTTTTTTGAATTTTTTTTTTTGAATATGAGAAATTTGCCTTTGAATGGATTGAAAATGAAATTTTAATTTAAGAACTAGTTTGTTTATAATTATCTTTTATTAAAAAATATTATTTTATACTCTTTTTATATTGAAATAACTATTATTTGTTAAAATTTTTTACAAGAATTTGGAAAAAAATTTATATTTTTATCTATAAGATGATTAATTAAAATCAAGTAATAACAATAGGATTAAAGTAAGAACAAATATATATTTACTTAAAAAAAAAAAGACAATTAGTCTATAATGTAACTTTCTCCTTTTCTTAAATTCTTTTTCTTTCAACTTAAGGGTCAAATTTGAGATCTACTACTTACAATATTAAATTGTTAATCAATTAAACTACTTCTTTAAAGGCTTTTCAACCTTGTAGTTGAGGTCAATGTTACTGAAATCCAATTAAAACCCTAGATCTAAAATAATTGGCACAAAATAAAAATAAATTCCCAAAATATAGTGTCTTGAGATGAGGTTTTGGAAATAAATTTTTTCAAAATATATAGCCATGAAGGCTTTTTTTTTAAGTCCAAATCAATAATTTCGAAATGGAACAAGATATTATGGATGGAAAAGTGATGTCATGTTATGAAGAAGGATCAATAATCTGTGATCAAGGAGTTGAGGTGTTGATTTTTCAAAAAAAAAAATATAAATAAATAAAGAGGTTCCACAAGGCAAAACCTTATGATAAGTGCCTAAACTTATCTCAGATCCTTGATTAAACTCTTAAACTTTTATTAAAGTAAACAAACCCATAAAATTTGTGATTTAAGCAATTTAATATTTTCTTATGGTAGATTTAATGTTTTTTTGTACCTTATTTATATCTTATTTGTACAAATAAGGTTAACATCCATCACGTAAATAGTGACATATCAATAATTTATTCATATAAGCAAGCACAAATAAGGTATTAAATCTGCTATAAAGAAAGAGAGTTGAATTGTCTAGATTATTAACTTTAAGGGCTTAATCAAGAATGTAGAATAAGTTCAAGGGCTTAGCATAGTGTTTTGCCAATCCACAATCAAGGAGTTTAGGGGCGATAACTCCTTTTCACCCTTTTTTTGGCAAAACCATAAGTTAAGCCCCTAAACTAACCTCAGAATCGCTATTAAACCCAAAGACTTTAATTTTTAAAATAAATTGCTTAAGAAGAAGGACTTAATTGCTTTGATCCCAGAGTTCAAGGGCTTAACTGCATCAATTAAAGTCTAGGGGCTTAATAGCGATTCTAGGGTTAGTTTAGGGGCTTAACTTATGGTTTTGCCCTTTTTTTTGTCATTGGATCACTTGTCTACTGCAAAAAAAAAAAAATTCCAGGAAACAAGTGGCTGTAGCAATACCATGTCAGCATTTCAACCTTTTTTTTTTTTTTGGGTAAAGAGCATTTCAACCTTCCACGCCTAAATTTCCTCTCCTCAAAAAATTATATATTAAACTTAAAAATAATAAAAAAATCTCACTTTTCCCCTCCTTCCCATTTCAAAATCAGACACAAGTACTGATTTATTTTTTGGTGGAGCAAAAACTGCGTGTGTCAATGGCTCAGTTACTCCCTCCCGTTTGTATAGATTCTTTCAAACTCCACAACCCCTTATTCAATTTGTGTAAGAGAAGGTCATGGCATATCCCGGAGAGGAGCCGCCTTTCTTGGGGTGGCAGGAGAAGAGGCTTTGCCAGAGTCAGCGTTGCGGCAGGGGAATCTGCTTCCACCGATTCCGTTGCTGATGATTACTACGCCGTTCTGGGTCTGGTACGTTGTAATCTGTTCCATATTTTTCAGATTTTTTTTTTAAAGTTTTTTTTGGTTGAGGGGAAAATGTTGGAAAATATTAACAGCTTGAACTGTACCTATGATGTCATATTTCTAAATATACTTTCAAGTTCCAATCAAGTAAGAACAGCTAGCCCGAAGGGCTGATACATTGGTAAGCAAGTATCGTGTTGTCATCAGTTGCAGGATTGAAGTCCTTGAATGCACTAGGCCGACATGGGGTCTCCCCTTAAGATTGGTCGGGATTCTTTTAGTCCATATCATGGATGCTTACTAAAATTCCTGAATTTAAAGAATTTAACATCAAGTCAAGGTGTCCTTACATATTTACAAGCTCAAACTTCTTTCACTACACTAACTTGTGGAAAATATGTTCTGGTTTGGTGCTGAAGTTGGTAGTTATTTGTTACTGTTTCTAATTCAAATCTGTTAGTTGGAGTACTTTTGTAGATCTTCTAGAGATTAGTTAGCGAACAAAAGTTTATGCATGCCAAGGCTCTAATTCTATGTGAACTTCTCAAAAAAACAAGAGCTTAGTCTTCCAAAAACCTAAGTAGCTCAATTGTAATCTCCTTCTAGTGGAAGTAAGTGGTCTTGACTTCAAGTTGCATGCATGTTGGTGAGGTGGGTTAATGGATGAGAGATGATTTCCACTCATTGTGCTACCCAAAATCAAAAAGAAAACAAGAGGTTAGCCTAGTTGGTTTACACTAAGTTCACAACCTTGATTCTGGTCTCCAGGGTTTGAATCTCTACAAAGGTAAGACTTGACCTTCTTTCTCAATAATAGAAAAGGTGGAACCCTTAGCATAAAACATTACTTCTTTTGCAGCAAATGATAATTATTAAATAGTCTTATGGTGATTAGTCTTTTCATATTTGGTAAAACTAATTAAAGTTGGCTTCTTTGAATAGCTTCCGGATGCCACCCCTGCCCAGATAAAGAAAGCCTATTATAATTGTATGAAAGCTTGTCATCCAGACTTGAGTGGTGATGATCCAGAGACTAACAATTTCTGCATGTTCATCAATGAGGTCTATGAGGTGTTGTCCCATTAAAACTGAGTGCTTTTCCTCTCATCTTAAATAGTAGTTTTACTTCTATGATTAATATACTATTGCAGTACAGGTTCTTAGTGACCCGGTGCAACGCATGGTTTATGATGAAATTCATGGTTATGCATTGATAGCAATCAATCCTTTCCTTGATGATTCCAGCCCTAAGGATCATGTATTTGTTGATGAGTTTAGCTGCATAGGTAATATTTGGCATTAGCCTTTGCATATTAATAGCAGCATAGTTCCCACTCATCTATGACTTTTACATGCTTGAAATCTTAATACTCTAACTTTTTTACAGGCTGTAAAAATTGTGCAAATGTAGCGCAGGATGTGTTTAAAATTGAGGAAGAGTTTGGACGAGCCAGAGTATACAGCCAGTGTGGGAATCCTAATTTAGTTCAGCAAGCAATTGATACTTGGTTGGTTTCCTGCTTCGTGAACACCTTTTTATATATGGTACTCATTCTATGTTGATTATTTATGATTGTGAGCACATGCTTGAGGAAGACTACATTAATCCACCAGCTTCATTCTCTGCTGCTCTCTTGATTTTTTTGATATTATTATGAACTTGATCAGCATCAATTAGTATTACTGTTCTGAGTTGTAAGCTAGACTTCACTTTACCAATGAACCAGTCCCAAGAAAATCTGTATTGACATGACTCTTTCATCCTTGAAAGTTGGTTAGAGCATCCACAAAAAACCAATTGACAATGGGTCAAGAGGCCCATGATTCATTAATCCATTGGTTTCCCCTTAATTGATTGATGTGGGATTTTACCACTTAGCACCTCCCTCTTCCCCCTCCCCCCAAACCCCCACACATGCAGGCCTTGTAGAATGGGTTCTGTAACATAGACAGAAACAATAGAATAAACATTGAACAGGGTCTTGTCTCCAATACCAATTTAAAGAGCATTCAACCTAATGCCAATTGGCAATAGTTGGGCAAACCCATATTATTTATAATTGTAAGTCCATAGATTTACCGTAAAGCCTTATTTTTGCACAGCTTCTTGATCTTCCCAGTGAGCAACATATCAACCAAGGGTAGTTACGTATCTGTTAAAGAAATGAAGAAAATTATTTAAGCGAAAGCAATTGAAGATATTCCTCATTAGAAGAAATTTAATTATAAGATTAGCATCATAGCTTGTTTATGGAATCCTAAAAAGTTCAGCTTGAAGCTTTCTATTATAATTTCTAAATTGTAACTGAGCCTTTTCTCTAACTTGTAATTGTAAAATGCTTAACAATACAGTGATGTTAGTGTCCTTGTAGTTTTTAAGAAACTTAAATTTCAAAGAGAGAACTTTAGGGAGATGGCACCTTGATTGTTTAGACTGCAAGTCTGTAACAAAGCTGTTTCTACCTTGAAGTTATCTGCGACCAGGTTGAAATTGTCCCGAGATGGTACTAGTGCTGTGGTATATTCATGGTTAGATGGAATCACATAAAAGAACAATTTATGTTTCTGTGAAAGTGACCCTGTGATTCTCATGCTTTCTGAGACAGCTGTTAGATAATGTACCATGAAAATGTTAATATGTGTGGCTGCTTGTAGGAACCACTCCTAGTGTAATGCTATATAAACTGATTACCATTATCTTGTATTATTCAGCCCAGTCGATTGCATCCATTGGACTTCTGCAGCACAACTATCATTGCTAGAAGATGAAATGCGCAGGGTAGAAAGAGTGAATGTAAGGAACATAAACTCAGTTTAATCCTTTCTCTCAAATTTATATTACAGAACTTAGCCTTGTCATCCATTTCACCTTATTGCTTAACTTGTGTTAAGTTCAGTTTGATTTATTTGGCTTTGCAGATCTGAAGAATAGGACTAATATACCAAACATTAGTCTGTTGGTTAATTGTTGGCATTGGACTGAAAACTAGGGTTTTTTCTGTGTTACCAAAATAATAAATGGGATTGAAACCTGGGTAACTTTTTCATTTGAAATCCTTTGGATGGATAACAATTTTGAAGTTGGTTCCTTAGAACTTCTGTTTTCCATGATCATTTTCTCAAAACTCTGATGTTCTCCTTTTCCCCTTAATTGGTGTACAAGTCAATTTTTTTATGTCTGTTATTTTGCTCCTTCCATTAGTGTCTTAAAACTCGGAGTTAATCTCCCATCGTAGTGTGTGGCTTAACTTTGGTCATAAATATCTGGGGTCTGGATTGAGGTTGCTTTGTGTCTTTGGTAAAAATATATTTTTTTTTTCTTTTATCAAATGTTTTTTGTTAAAATCTTGCCAAAACCAAACTGACAGAACTTGCTATTATACTTTCCACCACTTTTTAACTCTGCATATAACTATTTTATTTATTTATTAAGGAAAAAAGTTATGTGAAACAAATAATGTGTTTGCTCTTGTTGATAAAATTAATTTTTTTGGCTAAAACTTTAAGTCTTTGCTGTGGGCGAACAGGTTGCACTAATGCTTTCAGGAATGGGATCTGCATCATCAGATGTATTTAGAATGGTAAAAATGATGCGTGCATTTTTTACCACATATAACCAGTTTTACCTATTCACTATTTCGCCCTATGATTGCTACTGCTTAGCATTTTAAGTTTGTTTTCTTCTCATAATTTGGCAGGCAAGTTCTCGATGGGAAAAGAGGCAGGCTAAAGTTTTGGTAGGACTATCCTTCAAGTTTTTGTACCCCTGCATTTTAACTTCTTAGATATTCATATATCTGTGAGTTTGTGTGTCCCTTTTTTCTACTGGAAGGGCATGGGGATGTAGACCATTCTTTTTTACTTAAAAGCATTTAAACTGCATTTTAGTTTAGTACATAAAAGCGGAGCCAAAAATGATGAAGGTCAAGGACCATAAGAGAAACCATTTAGTCGAACAGCTATTATAGCAGATCATTGCTTTTAGATTTGGACCAGACTTGGTAGTTGCTGTATTTATCAGAACTGGAGGAATAACCTAACAAAGCGGTGCTTTTTTTTTTTCTTTTTTTTGGCCCATCAACAAAGCTGTGGTTTGAACCTGACCCTTTTTATTATTTTGCAGCAACAAGCTAAATTTAGGAAAAAGAAGCAGAAAGATACTGAAAAAACTGACTCATATTGGAGCAAGCTTTGGGGCAAGCCAAAAGACTACCAAAAATCTGGTAAATTTTATAAGTTTGGTATATCTCGCTCAAATTGCATGTTTTTGTCTCTCTCCATAATGTTTCTAAATTCTTAAAACATTCGTTCATAATGACATCCATAATGTAGAGATGCGAGGTTTACTGTTCATCCAGATAACATGCATGTAAATCTAAATTATTAGCTGTCGATTGTAATTTGGTTTTTCTGATGAACTTTGATTTTTGTTGGAGCTTAATCCAAGCTGATATTCCGAATTTGGTTTCTACAGAGGAGGAAGTGAAAGAGAGAGCAAAAAGGGCTGCCGCAGCTTCCCGGAGATGGAGAGAATATTCCAGGCGTGGTGCAGATAAGCCTCCAACAGTCAAACTTCCTGAGGCCGTTCCCAACGAAGAGAACTAATCAGTAATTTACCATACGCATTATATTACATTACCTTAAACATTTAGTTTATCGAATGGTTTCTGATGAACTCTGATAATGTCTTCCCTATAGTTTTTGTAGAGCTCATGTATATCTTTCAACTCTGTAAATGACATTATTCTACCTGTAATTAACTAATAAATGGGGAAAAAATGTAGTCATTGAACCAGACTAAAGGCTTGCTCCTTCAGTTCTAACCTTATGGAGCTGTTAGGTTCCGAGAATGTTCATTTTATAAACCATGCAATACGCATTTTTGTGTAGATTTTGTCGAACCTAAATTCTAGGCACCGGTGATTAAGTTTACTGATAAATAAGTATTATTTTGTAGGTCAAATTCAAGGTTTAATAAATTTTTTTGAATGTATCAAGTTGATTTAGGGGGGATGTCTTCTTAAGATTATTTAGAGAATGATTAATCTGCGGTGTACAAAAATTGACATGAGACACTTTAACTGGAAATATCAAAAGGTGAAAAAAATGCTATGCCCTGCAAGGAATGATTTCAAATGCAAATCAACTCAGTAAATTTGACAATCAGATCAGCTTGTCCCTCCTTTTTCATGAATCTCTAATAATAAGTTGTCATATTAAATGTAAATCATGTTAGATTGATCCCTACCACCTCAAGTGATCTGTAGACGATGATGGGTTGGTTCGTCAGGCCCTCAAAAGGCTCCTAACACCCTTTCAAGTAACTTTTGACAGTTTTATATAAGATACATTCACACTTCTCTAACAAGAGATTCAAGAAGAACAATTATTTCGATCTTTTTTCGTAAACTCATTTTATTTTGGCAAATATAGGTT